GTGGCTCTGCCACTCCTAACTTTTCCACCAAAACCTTCGTCACCAGCTTAGGTGGGAGGAGGTGCAGGTCAGGGTGACCAGACCTCTGGGGTGATGCTGCAGGTGTCGGGCTGCTCCTGTCCCAGGCCACCGTGGACCCTGCTGACGTCAGGGCTCGGGCCTTGTTTTCCCCGCTGCCCAAATGAAGTGCTCGTTTCATGAAAGTGGACCCAGTAGCAGGCAGACAGTGTGGCCACACAGCTGACCAGGAGGGTGACCCTGGAGGGGCAGGAGCGACCGAGCGGGAGGGTCTCTGCCCCTCCTGCGTCCCTGGTGCACACCACGACTGCTCCTGCCCCGGAGTGCGAGCCGCGCTCCCAGGACTACGAGGGGGTCCCAGGAGGGCCAGGCAGGAGACTGCCCGGAGCCAAGGCGGTCACGTAGCTGCCGCTCAAGGGGCTGGGGCAGCTCCGCTGGGCACTGGGCAGAGGCTCCCCGGGCGCCTGCAGGACCCCTCGAGGCCCAGCCAAGCTCCTGGGCACCGTCCTGCCTTCCTGACGATGGGGGCCCCACCTCTGCCAGGAGCCCGTCTGCCCGACAGACAGACGGCAGCCTGACCTCGACGGTGCCTGGGGATACCGGGTCAGCTTCTGACCCCAGAGCCCCGAGAGAACCGGTGCGTGTCATGTGCACCACCAAGCTCGTGACGCTCTGTCGCCACAGCCACAGGACGGGTCAGGCCCTCTCCTGAGCAGCCCCGTGGGGTGAAGAGCCAGGACCCGGGAGGGTCCTCAGGCTGCCCAGCGGAGGAAGAGGAGGGTGCAGGGCCTCCCTTGCCCACCCCCGCCCAGCCAGGGGCAGCCCTCCCCGGGTGGCCGGCCGAGGGCTGCTGGCAGCCGGGACCCGTGGGAGAGCCAAGGCCCGGCCTGTGAAGCCGCCCAGCTGGCAGGACACATTCGGACGTCTCTTCTCTGGCCGCCAACCCCCTCCCGGCTCTGCTGAATCCCCTCCGGGAGCACACGCCGGCCACAGCTGCCCTGGGGACGCGGAGGAGAGCCCCCACCCTCCGCGGAGCCAGCAGGGCAGAGGCCAGGCCTGGCAGCTGGCACGCAGCACAGAGCCCAGTTCTGTTTGGCTGGCACTGCCACCTGACCCCAGGCCTGGCCCAGGGGAAGGGAGGAGCCCGGGGTCACAGGGCTGTGACAGACACGTCCCAAGCCGCCGGGACTTCTGCCCCACTCCAAGCTCTCCAGGGGCTCTGCAGCCTCAACTTCTGTTCATAACAACCAACTGACCACTCCAGATGCTGGGCACAGCTCCAGCAGGACATCAAGGGCTCACGGGGAACAATCCCAGGGCCACCACTCTGGAGCAACAAGGCCACCCCATGGGCATACGAAAGGCACATCTGCTGGAAGAATGGTGCCCAATGGGGTTGAGCAGTGCGCGGCCTGTACAACCTCGCGTGGCAGCTGATGATCCAGCGTAGTGCTCACCCCTTGTCACCAACCCACAGGAGGACGAGGACATTATGTTCAGTGCGCCTCTTCTAAGTCGGAGCGGCTGAGCCCTGGGGAGCCCTGGAGCTCGCGAAGGCTCCATGACTGGGAGCTTGGACCTGGGTCTCAGACCCGAGCCACCCCTCCATCACCCAGCAACGTGCTCCTCCCCCAGAAGGCTGGGGACTGCCGCAGCCTAGGCCAGCACTGGGTGGTGGATCAGGAGCAGGCCTGAGCCTGAGCGTGGGACAGGACTCACTCCACCGAGGCTAGCGGTCAGGAAGAGCTGACCTGAGAGGAGGCCTCCAGCACCCTCCACCCCGGGGGGACATCGGACCAGCCAAGGCTCAGGCTGCGCCCGTCAGAGGGACCGAGCTCCCGGGGTCCCCGGGACCTCCACAGGACAGCAGAGGCCTCCCAAATGCAGGCCCCAGAGCCCACGCTGCCCAGGCAGGGAGGGCCGGCCCCACCCTGGACACAGGGACAACCCTCTTTGACCACCGTGTCCAAGTCGGATGAGCCCTGGGGTCCGGGGGTCTCAGTGGGCAGAATCCAGCCGTCCACAGACTCGCTGCTGCCATCTCCCCGGGGCAGCTGCCTCTGGGGACACGAGGTGCCTCTGGGGACACGAGGTGCCGCTGGCCAGGCACAGGGCTCCCAGGATGCCCGTCCTGGCTCCCCTGGTGAGCAGCTGTCCCCACGAACAGGACGTCTGCGGGGTACCTGGGTCAAGCAGACAGCATGTGGTGGGCGTACCCTGACCTGATGGCCACCGTCCAAGAGGGGCCCTGCCAGGCCAGCAGCTGGCGGGACCACCGTTGACAGGGCCAGCGACAGACAGAACTCAGTGTCCCTGGCCCCCGGACCTGAGCGGGGGAGAGACAGGGACGCGCCCACCGTGTGCGGCCGTCCCACCTGCGGGTGTGTGCACCTGGAGTCCTGGCGACCACGCATGTGCGTGCGTGTGTGTGTGTGTGCGTGTGTGTGTGGAGGGGTCTGTGGCTGTCTCCACACCCACATGTCCCCGTGCGACGTGAGGGACTCTGTGTGCATGTCCCTGTGCGCGCCGTGTTGGAGACCTGCTCCTGTCCTATGTGCCTGAGCGTGTGTCACGTCTGCCCCGTGTGCCTGGGTGGGGGTGCGAGTTGCACGTGTGCCTGACTTCTGGGCACGTGCCCGTGCATGCGTGTGTGTGGGGGTGTGTGCGGGTTGTGGCGTGTCATCTCTGTGTACTCCCGTGTGTTCGTCTGTGTGCTGGTGCCCATGTGTTGTGTGTGTGTGCCCCCGGAGGGGAGGTGGCAGGTGTGTGATAAGCCATTAGTCACTGTCACGTTTCCCAGCAGCCGCGGCCGCCCCTGGCAGGGCCTGGCTGGGGGACATTCTTGGCAGCTCTCGGCTGGGAAGCTGCCCCCAGGCTGGGCACAGACTGATGAGGAGCAGCTGGCAGACGGGGGCAAGTGCCCCGGCCCACGCCGCTGGCCCCCACACGCCACAGGGCAGGGGGCTCCTGGCCAGCTGTTCCCCTGCTGGCCCGGCCTCCTGGAGGCCCCTGAAGGGACGTGCAAGCCCGACCCCACAGCCTCTGCATCCCCTCGGCACCCCAGACTCCCTGGACACCTCCTGCAGGCTCCAGGAGGAGGCAGCTGCCCCTGGGCCCGGGGTCGACGGGTCCTCCCTGCAGCCTCTGGTGGCCCCGGCACAGTGGCCCTGGCCCAGCAGGCCCCCCACTGGAAGGGAAGCCTCTCCCTGCACTTCCGAGTGGACACCTGAAGGCCAGGGGAGCCCTGCAGGTCCCTCCAGCAAGGCAGCCCGAGGCTGGGCCAGCAGGGAGGACCCGCTGGGCGCAGGGACCAGGCCCAGCCCGCTCACTGCTGTGTGGGGGGTGGGCTGCTGTCTCCCTGATGTGACATGGTGGGTGCCACACACGGCCAAGCCACGCTGGTCACAGAGGCCACCCACCCACAGCCCGCACCTCGCAGAGGGAAACGGAGGCTTGGAGACGGGCAGCCCTCGGCCAGTAGCCACAGCTCCCCTCTGGAGCCCACCTGGGACCGCCTGGAGGGCGCCTTGCGGGACCTCCCTGGGCAGGAAGGAGACGGAGGGCAGACTTCCCGGTCCCCGAGCCCAGCCCTGGCTGGAGAGGCCTGTTCCAGAGGACCCTGGCCTGCCGTGACAGGCAGCCCTGGGGGGTGGCAGCCCACCTGCACCTCTGCCCGCCGTCCTCCTCTGCAAAGCTGGGCGCGGACCCGCTGGGCTCTGGGGCCAGCACTGAGCAGGGCCCAGGGAGAGTGGCAGTCACAGGCCGAGCACCGTCCTGCCCTCACGGGGTCCCCTCACCTGTCCACCCTGCTCTGGGAGCCGGGACCAGGGACCCTCGGCTCACGGACCTCCACTGGGCAGCGGAGCAGGAAGCTAATTGTCCGCGGCCCCAAGCGTGTTGAGTGGGTGGGGCTGGCTCCCCCGTGGGAACTGCCCCCCAGGTCACCTGAGCTGCCCTATGCCCCATCCCCTACTGCCCATGTCTGGCAGTCCCTCAGGGGCTCCAAGGCCAAGAGCCCCTGGTCAGCCAGGTCCGTCCCTGGCCCGAGCCCTGTCCCTTCCCTCACTGTGTCATCTCAGGGGAGAGGAGGTTGGGCTGGGGTTGTCCCGAGATGGACACCAAGATCAAGCCAGGGCCTGAGGGGGACCAGCCGGCATCCCCCAGCCCCGCCAGCCACGCCCCCACCTGCTTGTGCGTCACCTGCTGGGCTCTTGGTGTCTCATCTCCTCAGCCCGCTGTGCCTCGGGCCACGGCCCTCTCAGTGGCTGGCGCAGGGAGGCCTGGGCTGGGTCTCGAGCCTCCGGTCCTCCCAGGGGACAGCGCTGGGCCAGGACACACCCAGGTCTCCTGCAGTCGCTGCCACCAGGCCCTCGGGACGTCTCACTGACCGACGCAGGGCCTACAGCCTCAGGGAGGCTGGGAGGACGCGGTGTCCAGGGGAGCTGACACTGGCCCACCTGCCCCCCAGCCCACTGCCACGCCCGCCGAGGCCACAGGGCCACACATGGCCAAGGAACCAAGGCGGGTGGTAGGCACCACAGGTCCCAGGGGAGCGCAGCCACCAAGGCCAGTGCTGGCATCTGCGAGCAGGGGGCCCGGAGACGGGCAGCGGGCAGCGGGCAGCGGCAACCCCAGCGCCCGGGCTGCTCCTGCGGCCAGCCACGCGGACCCCGCACCCCAGGACACGAGCTCGTTCACAGCCAACTCAGAAGGGAGCCCACGGCTCAGGGACGTCGAGAGGACATTCACAAAAGCGGACGGCAGCGGCCGCAGACCGAGGCTGGGCACCACCCGGACACGAAGCCCAAGGACCAGGGCTTTTGACTAAACGCCAAAGACACGAAGCCAGGAACAGGCCACGTAGGGAGGCCGTGTCCAGGGACACAGAGGACGCTAGTGGAGCCGGGCTAGTGGCCTCTGGCCCCCAGCCTGCAGGACAGCTCTGTCCAGAACCCAGAGAAATGAGACGAGCCGGCGCCTACCTGTGCCCGAGAGGTCTGGTCTGTCCCCGTCCCGGCCACTCGGCGGGCCCTGTGCTGGCCTCAGCTCCTGGGTGGGCCTGGGGCCTCTGGGCAGGCTCTCCTCCGGGGGGCCCGGCCGCGGCTCCGGCTCGCGGGCAGGAGGGCGGACAGCTGCGGATGCCTCCAGAGACGCAGAGGTGACCTGTGAGGAGAGGAGGGGACAGGGTGAGCGCCCGGCGGCCAGTCCACCTGGAGGAATGGAGGGAAGGGCCCCGCTGTGGCACCCTCCCCGGGGCCGGGCCTTCGCGGTCAGGGGCTTGGCTGCTTAGGCAGCCAGTGCAAGCATCTGCCAAGCCCGGGGCCCCAGGCTGGACACTGGGCCACCCGCGGAAACGTCACCCCCAGCGGGCAGTGGCAGCCACACCGGAGAGCGCCTGGAGGGAGCCCGTGGGCGACCTCACTCGGCCCGTCCCCTGGGTGACAGGGACAGGCACGTCACGTGCCTTGCCAGTGAGTGACCAGGGCCTGGCTGACAGCCCCAGTGCCACCTCAGCTGCACCCTGAGAATCGGGGGGTGTCCCTTCTCCATGCCCTGGGGACTGGCTCCTCCAGACACCCAGGGCTCAGCTGGGTGTGTCCCCCCATCACCGAGCACATGGAGACTCTGGTCACGAGGGGACAGGAGGGACACTGGACCTTCCAGGAGAATGGGGAGGGTAGCACCCGGCCTGTTCCACTTCCTGGTGGTGACCAGCTTCAGGCCAGAGCTCACCCCACCTCTAACAGAGGCGCTAGGTGTTCCTAGGTCCCTGTGTCAAGGGGACAGGGGACACAGGGCATGGGGGTGCCCGGGGGACCCAGGCAGCCTGCACCTTGGCACCTCTGTGGGACTGCAAAGATCAGCCCCGCACTGTGCCACATGTGGCCCTCGGGGACACCCAGTCCACCTTGGGGACACCCAGAAGAGCTGGGCCCTGGGATCCGTGTTCTTGAGGAGAGAGATGCGGTGCCCAAGACTGCCAGGGCCTCCTGCCCACGGGTCTGTGTGGACCTCAGCAATGACTGCCCACTAGTACGTCCAGCCGTGAGGACACCCCGTCCTCACCGACACCCACAGAGGCCGCCTGTCTCCCCAGCCCCCACCCATTGGATGCTGTCAAAAAGTGTGGTCACACACCCGCACCACATTCACCAGCTTGACCTCGTTTTTGCCGTTCTGGGGGTTAAAATGGGGCCAGTGCGCTGGGCCAGCGCTGGGTCAGTGCTCCTCCACTGAGCCACGGCCCAGCCCCTCTTATTTTGAGACAAGGTTCTGCTAAGTTGCTGAGGCTGGCCTCAGCCTCCCCAGTCACTGGGATCACAGGTGTGGCCACGGTGCCCAGCCAGGCAGACCATTTTCAAGTGCCCAGTTCATAGCAGCATATTTTCAGTGTTGTACTATCCCCCGTCCATCTCCAGAACTTTCTCCTGACCCCAGAAGGAATCTCTCCCCATTAAAGGACCCCACTCCTCCCCACACCTGTTATCACCCTCCCACGGTCATAGCCCTGTCTGTCCCCTTCAGGTGGGGGAAACCGAGGCTGGGGGCAGCAGTCTGAGGCCAAACCCCATGAGGGCAGGGGGTCAGGGAGCTTCAGAGCTGGGTGGTGGCTGGCTCCTGCCGGGGGCGGGGCCAGCTGAGCGCTGCCAGGTTGGGCAGGGGGCCCACTGAGCTGTGGGGCGGCGGGGGTGGTGACCCTCCTCCTGGTGACGAGCTGCAGAGACGGCTTGGCTGCGGGAAGCAGCTTGATGCTGATCCCATGTTTTTTCAGGGATTAGTACCGTAAAACCCAAGTGCCTGAGCGGCCGCTGGTCAGGACGCCCCAGCCAGCGGCCCCACGGGCCCCACAGCGCGAGACTATGAATTTACCGTCTGTTTCCTGGAAGCTTTGATTTACGGGATCCATATGGTGACTGCCCAGACCACAGCCCTGCAAACCTCCCCGCGGCGGGGGCAGGCGGCCCGGGCGGGGCATCCCGTGCTCGGGTCAGGGTGGGCCGCAGCGTGGCGGGGCCTGAGCCCCTACAGAGGTGCCCCCCACGTCCCCCCGCAGAGACCTGGCTGCTTCCCGCCTGGCCCTGGGTCATCTCGGGGACTCCTGCCAGGGGGGCGCTAAAGGAAACCAGGCGCAGGCTGCCGCATCCTGGGATCCTGATGCATCCCAGGACGGCTGGACGGGCCAGCCGGGGCTCCTGTTGCCGGGGAGCGTTGGAGGTCAGTCAGGCATCTCATGCAAGCCCCTGGGTGGTCTGGACCCTGCCGGTCCTGCTTCCCTCCTGAGCCGAGGGGCCAGGTCCTGCTGGGAGTGGGCGGCGGTGGGACCTTGTGGGGTGGCGATGGCCCCTGGAGGAGCCGTGGTGGGAGTCGGCCAGCAGGGTGTGGTCAGGAGCTGCCCGGCGCCCAGCTCAGCTCTAGGCCCAGCAGCCAATGGGAGAAAGAGCCCCTGAGCCCCGCGTGCCAGGCACAGACCCACAGTCCACCCTCCGATGCTCCCTCGCCACGAGGGTGCAGAGTGACCGGCACCCAGCTCAGCTGTCCGGGGCCGTCAACAGTGAGGCAGAGGAGGGGCGTGGCTGTGGGCAGAGGGCAGCAGGTGGGGGAGAGCCCGGGGCAGCAGGGGAGAGCCCGGGGTGCAAGACTCCCGGGAGCAGGAGGCCGGGCGGGCTTCCCCAGCAGCGGATCGACCAAGGTCTTCAAGGGAGGAGGGCCAGGAGGGGGACAGGCCAGCTCAGGACGCCACGGGGCCGTCGTCCCACAGACACAGAGCCCAGCGTGCCACGGTGTCCTGTTGGTGCTGCCCGGGTGGGCAGGCGGGCCCTCCCCAGGGGCCCACAGACCGGTTCGAGGCCTGACTACCCTGGAGGCAGCAGGGCGAGCCGTGGCCAGGGCAGGGCTCCACCCAGGGATGGCAGGTGTGCGCCGAGGGCCGCCAGCCCTGTCGTGGCCCAGACAGTGAGTCCTGGCGCCGAGGGAGGACGCAGCTGGTTCTCTCCTGGCTGAGCCTCCACGGAGGCTGTGGCCGGCTGGCGCCTTGGTCTGCAGCGGGGGAGACCCTGGGCAGAAGCCCCGCCCAGCAGTGTGACTGTGAGCGCGGTTGGCATAGATGCCAGCATGTCACTCACCCAACCCCAGAGCTCCAACAGCACCTGGCCCTGCGGGTCCCTGGCACCCTGTCTGTTGTGCCCTGGGTGGTTGACACAGGACGAGGCGCCAGTCCCTCCTCGGGGCCAGCTCCACCCAGGACTCCGGAGGAACTCGGGGCAGTATCAACACACAGGCGTGGCCGCCGCCACGGGGGTCGGAAGGGGGAAGATGATGGTTCTCAGCGCGGACGCGAGCCGAGGCCAGAGCCTGCACACGGATGGCCAGTGACGGTCCCCACGGAGGACAAGCAGCTCTCAGCCAGGGTCGGCCGAGGCCTGTCTCCACTTAAGGTGTGTTACGTGGGCCAGCTGTCCTCGTCCCCTCCCGGGAGCCGGGAAACCATGCCTTTCAGAGCTGCCTCGGGGCCCACGCAGGCCCGGCTTTGAGCGAGTGGCTGCAGAAATGCCACCAGGCTGCTTGGGCACCACGGGCAGCGTGTGGGTTCCCAGGCTCCTCGGGATAAAGGGGACCTCGGCCACCCGCCGGCTGCCGGCCAGGCCCTGTGCTCTGGGGTCTCCTGCAGGGCTGCGGAGTGAGCAGGGAGAGCCAGGGCGCCACAACCCGCCCCGAGGGCACGCCGTGACTTCTGGGGACCCGGTTTTACCTAATTGATTTGATCCCCTGCGAGGCCCTGAGCCTGGGGACCTGGGGCTACATCGTATTGAGATGGAATCCTCACACTCTCCGATCCGTCCACTTCTTCTTTTTCTGCAGCTGGGGGGTCAAGCCCAGGGCCCACTGGTCCATTTAAGTTGTGCACATCCAGAGTCAGGCCACCTCGCCTGGGTCACTTCAGCACATTCATCATGTCACAGCCAAGACCCCGTCCCTGAGAGTCACCCCACCTCCCCACCCCCCAGCACCCCTGACCCCGTCTGTCCTGTGGAGCGCCTGCTGGGGTCGGCGCAGGGACCTGGAACCACACTCACAGCCCTTCGTGGGGACTCTTTCGGTCAGCATCCTTGGTCCAGGCCCATCCTGCTGCGACACGCGGACCATGGATTAGAGTCACACTTGTTTGAAGACCCAGAGCAGATGCAGGCCCAGGGGGACCACAGGCCCGGGGGACCGCAGGCTGCTTGCCCAGGAGCCCGTGGGTCCTGCCGCTGCCCCCAGGAGGAGATGGCAGACCCCAGGCCTCAGTTTCCCCTGTGTAACCTGGAGCGTGGACATGGTGCCACCCTCAGGAGGGACGATAGAGGAACTGAGGGAGCCACTCGGCAGCAGCCGGGGGCAAGTGCTGGGGGCCAGTGGAGCGGGCCCAGGGCCCAGGAACAGAATCGAGGGCTGCGTGCTGGGGAGGCTCCGTGGCCTGGCCAAGTGGGTCCCCTCGCACACCGGGGCAGTTCCGTCTCCAGTTGGCAGGGCCCTTCCTAGGCCCCTCTGCCCACTGTTGCCCCGAAGCCCATGACCGTCCAGGGTCCCTGAGGCTGATCCAAACAGCCCAAAGCCACAGGACTGTGCTCCCTGACCCGTCCTGTCTTCTGAGGTACCTCTGGGTGGACGCCAGGAAGCTGGCCCTGTGGGCTACAGTCCTGAGGCCCTGCTCACCTACTGGCGGGACTGGGAGCCACCGGGCAAGCTCAACCACTCTGACCCTCAGTCTCTACTTTTGGGAGGGGGGCTACACAAGAGCTCATGCAGTCACCCCAACAATCCTTCCTTACCTCCCCCTTGCAGAGGGGAGAACTGAGGCACAGAGAAGCCAAGTCGGCTGCCCAAGGTCACTCAGCGGTCAAAGTCAGAGCTGAGCATCTAGGCGAGAGTGAGTCCCCTGCCAGGTACCTGGGCCTGGAACAGGGCCCAGCACACAGTAGGTGTTCAGTAACCACCAGCAACCCCAGCACAGCACACAGTAGGTGTTCACTAACCCCAGCCCACTCACTCCAAGGTGGTGACACAGCCACCTGCCACCTTCTCGGGCTCAGGCATCTGGGCCGCCGGTGGACAACGGGGCAGGTCTGCTGGTGGGCTAGGGCTGGTGGACCTCCTGAGCAAAGCCAGGAAGGGAGAAGGGA